GTTTGCATAAATTACAATAATTACCAATAAATTATTGGTGTCATTAATTTGACTGATTAAATGTAAGGTTATGTTGTTCTATCGCCATATTTTATTATTATGTTTATTTTATAATCATTTAGGTGTAGGAATACCTTAAAGTTGCGTATTTTGATAATTTTTAAAGGAGTTTGGAATTTCATCAGAAAAAAATTATAAATAAAAATTCTTGATTAAGTATACTGCATAATAATCAAACAAATAAATCGATTGAAGGATTTCAAAGTGAAAACTGAAATGGCGTTGACACCCCCTCCTACCTTAAAAATATGCAATTGAATCTTGACGATTGTAGTAAAACAAGTGAGATCTACTTAGTATTGGTACCTACTTTACCCTGTGGGGCAATATTTTATTTTTAAATACTATTTGTTTACAAACATAAAAACAAAGATAAATATTTATTATTTAAGGTATTTTATTTTATGAATAACTATAAAAGCATACCGCATTCTTAATTAATTAAATCGTATGCGTAGTCCATGGCTTTAATTGCTTTAAATGTATAATTGAATAATCTATAATAATTATAATTAATATTATTTAATAATATTATATCATACTAAATACTAAAATATACGCATTACTACAGTTATTGAAATTTTACTAACTGCTACAGTAGGAATAATATTTTATGATTCAAGATTTTAGTTAATTTAAAACGATTTGCCCATTGCGATATTTCCTGGGATGATAAATATATCATAAATCTGTTTGTTTTTATTAGACTCACAGAGACAAGGACTACACATATTTTATGTTTTAAGTTGATTAAAATTTTTGGTAAAAAAGTAATTTCTTTATTTTTGAAACAATTGAAGATAGCTATTTTATAGATATATCCTCACAAGACACTCTGTAGAATGAGGAAGAAACAAAATTCATCTTTTGACAGTATCATTAAAAGAAAATATATGTGTACATCTATACAGGTATAATATTAAATAAAAATGTAGAAATTAGTTTTTTATTACCTAACGGCTAATCTCAATAGATTTTATCAATAGATTACTTGAAACTCACGGAGGGTGTTTAAAGCTTATTTTTCAATCCTTTATAGGTTGCTATATATAATCATAATATGTTTATTGTTAACATTGGTCCCAATATTCAATATTTCAATAGTTTTTCAAGTGCAACCAGATAACTATTTAAAATGTTAAAATAAACTACAAAAATCCTTAAACGAGCACTTCTTGTAAATGCTAATTTTGGAAAATCCTTTCTTAGAGCACATCTACATAGTTTTAAGACTTAAGAAGCCCGACAAAGGTACCATGGAAATTTCCAAATCTCCAACTATCATAATTTAGGCTCTATGTTGTTCAGTCAATCAGTCGGTCCAAATCGCACTTTCAGTTTTTCCCAAAATGTCCAATACCCACGTACATTTTTCAATTTTTCTATCACTAAAAACCTTAATAATTTGGACTAGGTATTACAAACATTCTTTTAAAAAAATGATCCAAATCGGTCCAGCCGTTCTTAAATGATGCGATTACCAACGAACAACATTCCATTTTTATTTAGATAGATTGTGGCTTAATTTCAGTTTTTGAGAGGGGGGGGGGCAAAATGTTTGACCGGCTATAGTGAAACTGAGAAAAAAACCACTCTCTAACAATAAATAACATAACATTACGTCACTACATTTGCATTTTTATCTCAATACAAATAGCCTTCTTACATAATTTTATTTATAAATAACTCATTTTTTTGAGAACTAAATAATTAATTTATAATATTATGTAGAAAGTAGAAGGATACTTAAATATGTTACCTATTAGCTACTATATAATATGAAGGACCAAAACTAACTCATACTAGCAATCAAATTTTTACTTTGCCTAAAAATATTCTGCAGCTGTAGATTGGGCACCAATATTATCCAATTTATTTATATTATAGGTACTTATCATTAATTTATCATCAATATTCATTATAATTTTACATTGCGTATTCGAAAACATCGTTTTAATTTTTTAGTCGACGTAAAAATATTGTCACCCTCCAACATAAGTCATGGTTGGCTATTGCGAACCCAAACCACCCCTCAAAGGCCCTGTTCACACATGCAATATGTTTTGGATTGCCAAAGTCAAATACATTTTTTTTATGTTATATTGCTGATAGAAATACAATGTAAAAAAGGTGCTTTGCTGTACAGTAGGTTACAAGGGGGTCACTGTATAATGGATGATATTAAATTTGAATTCAACGATATAATATCATTGTATAAGAAAAACGATTCTGAGCGGTGACGGTATGTCAGTCTAGGTATAAGACATATTATATACATATCTATGGTATTAAACAAAAAATTGACCTATAATAGGTAGGTAACTTTAATAAATTCCAAATTAATCATATCACAATATCCATCAGGTACTTATAACGCGTTATACATCAACAACAAACCATGATACTATCATAGATATATAATAGTACATTAGTACACTTTAGAAGTTTCAAGTACCCATGAATAATATTATTCAATCACAACAAAATAACTAAAATAGATATTCTAGGTTTTTTAATATGTAATTTCGTCCAAATTTGAATTTAAAATGTCTGTAAAAAATAACTGTGTTCATATATTTTTTAGATTTTTTGGTTACAGTATGAACTATTTATGAGAACCTTTGTTTTAAATTTGCAATCCTTAGCTATAAAAACTGAACATTTTATAATTTATTAATTACAATGATTGATAATTTTCAAGATTTTGATAAATTTTGAAAAAATTCGATATTTAAATAAACTTATAAAAAAAATTGTGCATATGTATTTTTGATATTTTTCAACTGATATTGTAACAATATATCAAGAGCCTTGTATTAAATTTCTACACTTTTCGGTACAACAGATAAAACTTAATTGATATTTATAGAAAAAAAAACTAAAAAAATTGAAAACTGAAAATGTCCCTAAACAGCTCAAGAAGAATCCAAATATTTTCAAAATTGTATGGTGTATAGGAAATGCTAATATAAACATTCAGTGAAATTTGCATGTATCTTCAGTTATTCGTTTTTGAATTTCAACAAAATAAGGAAATCTCTACATGAGAAATCGAGTGAATATCCAATGTTGTAAAAATTTGAATTTCAACCGCTCATAAAAATTTAATTTGACTTTCTTATAGACATTTTTTTGTTGATAAAGGTAGATAATCTTATAAGGAATCTTGTATTACATTTTAAAACCTTAGATTTAAAAAGAAAAATTTTTACGAATTCATAACTCAAAATAATTTGCTAATTTTCATCGTTCTACTCAGAATCTAAAAAAAAGGTGTGGAAATTGATACCGCTCTGCTATACAGTAGGTGTCGACTGTCGAATGGGCCTATAATGTTTTTATATTATATGAATATTGCTATTAGGACCTAGGCAGGTTGAATTAATTTTTGCATACTTACTTACCTATTATTATAAGACTATCAGTAATTGTCTAATTACAGTATGAATTAATTACGAGGGACCTTGTTTTAAATTGTTAGGTATTTTGACCGAACGAATAATTTTTTTCGACGTTTATAGAAAAAAACTAAATTAAATCGAAGATGATCCAAGCGAAGACGGTTTTTCTTTTGAGTAACCGGTTTACAATTTAAAGGTTAATAAATAATAATTTTTAATAATACCTATACAATTAAAAAAAAATGTTATTAGTTTATTAGATTATTATTTTAAATAGTACTGAGAATTTTCAATTTTGACTTTCTGCAAAAAGTATTAACTAATCTAATTTGCTACCAAAAACCTCCATCAAAGTTGACGTTCAGAGAAACGTATCTATGTATTAGAAAATGTTTATCCAGAGTCCGGACAAAAAAATCACACATTATTTAAAATCAATACAGTCATTGGTACGCCCAGAACCTAAATATTGTTATAGACTATAGCCAAATCATCATGCGTTGCTATGGGATTATTTTTAAAGAAAGGAAAATAATATTAAATGTATTGTTTGTAATTCAAATTTTCAACAAAAATCTGTCCATAAGTTTGTAGCTTATTGACACAAAAACTAATTGACCGATTTTAACAAAAGTTTCAGTCTTTCAGACATCGTTTTTTAGATATCAGAAATGTTTAGACTGTTCGAGAGTGTAGTTTAAATTACCTACGTTAAAAAATAAGAGGATTGCCAGATCTTGGTTAAATTAGTACACCGATGCCTATTTGCCCGTGAATTGAGGTACACTAAAAATTAAAAGAGAGATACATTTGATATTTGTTATTTTATTCCCGTGTGAAGTCAGAATATACACCTAGTATAATATAATATAATATATTAATATTTAAAAATATTTTAGTTTTACATATTGGAATTTCGAATTCACTAATAAAAATTATTTAAGCTTATAAACCGATTTGTTTTTAATAATATTTTCAAAAGTATTTTCTATTTTTCATAATTAGTTTTAAATAAAGAATATAATATATACATTATAGTTCTTAAAACAAATTAACGGTTCTATTAAAAATGTCAGGCCTCAGGGATAAGTATAACATGGCTAGTGTTAAAAATTATTAAAAATATTTTAAAATTACAATTAACCGCTCCCCCCCACCTATGTACAATTATTCTGAATCTAAGTTTGAATGTATACTATTATTAAAGATAAATCTACTACAAATTGTTAAGTATTTATAATTGTGAAACATAGATGACGCACTAATTTTAAAGTATTTCAGTTGACCTAACGACATTTCTATTTGTAATGGTACATGCAGATTAGACATTATAAATCGATACTCAATAACAAAGTTATTAATTATTATATCAATTAATCAATTATTTTATTAAAATAAATGTCAGACATTGAATGGTTCATTCGTCAGTCGTCAACTTGGAGTCATTGCATGTACCAATATTCATTATTGTGTCTTCTTCTGCGGACCTCGAAAATCAAAATCACTCATCTTTTATTTACAATATCAACAAAATAAAAAATGAAATTATTCGTGGTAAGTCGTACACTATCGATTTATTTGTTCTTAAAAAAATTACTTGGTGTTTGTTTTTCTTTTCGAACATTAACACGACTATCGTTTTTTTGGCCGGCTAGGTGGTGGTTTCGGTAGCGGTGGTCATCATGTTCGTGTTCGCCTCGGACATTGCAGCAGCCCCTACAGATAATGAAGTTACGAATGATATGATGTACGTTCTTTTATATTATTAGTAATAATTATTAATAAATCTCATTGTATTATACTTAAGCACTTAATTTTTCAGAATAATACTATATGATTTATTAATTTACATTTTATCATAGAAACATAACAGCCCCTATTGGAACCCCCTTTTGTCATGGAATACTGTGTGAAAATACTTATTTATGTAGAATTGTTAAGAATATCACATTTTTTTTCCTCTTATTCTTTCATAAAATATCGGTTTTAAACAGAGTTTCCTTTTTATGGCCTTTTTTATGTTGATTATTTAAAAAAATAGTGGTTGACACACTATTCAAATTGTCTTAAAAAATATAGGTGACATCGTTAATTGTTTATATAGTTTTAAACATATCTAGAAGTATCTCACTCAGTTTTTGATTTTTTAGGGTTGGAACCTAGGGTTATATTAATAATATAATGGAACAAACGTGTTCCGTGTAAATTTGTGGTATTGAAAAACATTAAACAACTCGTTGAGCTTACGTTAAATTGAAATAAGAAGTAACTCGTTAAGTAAACAGTTGCTAGTTGGCACGTAATAGTCAGTAATTACGTTTGAAGTTGTTGAAAATAATATATAGAAATTAGAAACTAATTATGCCCTTATGCCATTTCAGGCCCTTATTACTTTTTTTGACAATATGAAAATATTATTGTGAAAAGTGCTTAACACCAAGTATCTACACTAGGTAGTAGTCACACTTAAGTTTTAAAAAAAATCAACATTTTTAGTTTGATAAATTGTAATAATATTCATTAGATTTATTTCAAAAGAATTTCGATATTTATTTTTATTAAAACATGCACTGATTAAAATATTATTATTTTTATTTTAATAATTTATGCTAGGGGCAATGTTATATCCATTTTACACTCACTTCAAACAAAGTATTTATCACTGATCAGAGAGTTAAAAAATATCATTTTTCTAAAGTATTGTAATGTTCAGGATTGTAATTTTTTTGGAAGAGGGTTAAATTATTTTTATTTTTGTCTATTATAAACGTATTTATTTATCTCTTCTTACTATAATACCAGTGTCCAGTATAGGAAGTTGGTGAACAAACGTGTTAACATTTAGGTAAGGGTGAACACCTCAATACCTCTTCCTATGCACGTCCCTATTGATATGATACAGAGGCCATCAAATATGAGGGAAACAAATTGAGGTCCTAGACTCTAGAGCAGGGATTCTCAAACTGTGGTACGCGTACCCCTTGGGGGTACTCAAAATTTTTTAAGGGGTACAAGTCTGGCCAACAAACCTTTAAATTAAAATAGAGAAAAAAATTCTAAAATCCAAGGTAACATTTGTGAATTTTAAATTAAAATGGCGTATCTAACTGTTTCATTCGTCATTGATTGAGTAAGCGTGGCTATCGTTATACCAAGTAGAGTAGGAGACAGTAGAATACCTATATAATTATAAAAACGCGACGTTAAGCTAGGTGTCATGCGCGTGGCGCGTCTACGCTCGGATATAAAATCTTGCGTCGTTACCGCGGACGACACGCGTGTGTTTTTTATATTTTTATATATATATTTTTGTTTAGTAACTAAGAAGGGGTACCCAAAAAAATGTATTGATAAAAAGGGGTACAGTGTTTATAAAAGTTTGAGAATCCCTGCTCTAGAGGAACGCCGCGATCGAGGCCTTTTACAACATTAAACCAGACCAACACTGAATTTACTATAGAATATTAATCCTATTGCATTTTCATCTTGTTACGCAATACATATATAATACCTACTATTATAATAACACCCGCATTAATAATAATATGTTCAATTTATTGGTTTCAGCTCACATTCCGCGCTAGTCGGCCCGCAAGGACATGTTTCTAGTGCAGATTCTGGAAGTTCCTCTAAGTCAAGCTCCAAGAACCCAATATTGGAAATCGTAAAATCCGTTATTAAACTCATGACGAAAATGTTCTCTTTATCGGATACTACCATACCGATAGGACAGAGTGCACCATAATGTAACATCGTAGCATGCTCGCCTAATATTGTACGTTCGAATTTTCACCGTCCGTCTTATAATTCTATGAATTGTGTTTTCTTAGACAGCCTGTCGATTTTACCGCAAAAATATATCATAATATAATCACGATGGGCGAAACTGTACAATATAACAATGAAATACGTAAGGTAAAAAATATGATGTTCTTGATATTATATTTATTTACTATTTTTATTTTCATTTACACAACTCAGAACCGACTTAAAGTAGATATATCATAATGTATTTATAAACTATCTGTTATATTATATTCTTATTTTAACGGCCAGAGTTATTACATGAAATCTCAGTGTATTATATACTATTAGGAATTAGATTAGAAACAACAAGAATATACCTATAATATTTGATATTAGGTACCTAATATATTATACATAATTGCGACTACATAGTTTGTTTCGATTATTTATTTGAATATTATTTTATGTAGTCGTATATTTTTTAACTTTAATATTTGTTGATTTTTTCCATAATAAATATACTAAAATATAGTTTGAAATATTTGTTACTTACGAGTTACGTTTATTATTTTTTTTTAGTACTGTTATTATTTTTGAGTACCTACTGTTAGTTAGGCGTGGTTTCATAACCAATTATTCATGATTACGTATATTGTACACTAATATATGTATATTATACCATACAAAATAAAGGTCATCATGGGGATACGAAATATATTCCTCTAATGCTAAATCTCGTTATCATGTTTCCATTGTAGTTGTAGAAATACAAAATATGTTTAAAAATAACAACATTTTACTTATACCATTGAAGTACTGAATTTTTTTCACACTTCTCCCCTAAATTTTTTTTTAATTGTTTCTAGATTAAATATATTCATCCAGCATAAATGGTTTAAGTGCAACTATATAATCTATGATCATCAATTAATACGTTTCCAAAAAAAATATGTAGTACCTCGAATTTGAAAAAAATTATTAAGTATTCACGATTCAGTTTAAAATGTAATAAAAATCATACGGAATACAATTTACCATTTTTATAATTACGTTAATGTGAGTATAAAATGTACATAATTATTCTTGTCACTTGGCATAAACATATACGGATACTAGAACTTTTCTAGTTTCTAGTTCTGTGAGAGCAGTGAAAGATCCAAGAAAGTCAATTGATATTTTTCTTAAGATCAATGTTAATAATATTATAATAAATTAATGTAATAATATCTATGACAAACGTCATAGATATTATGATATTGTTCCTCTACTATTAATAGGAGTGACTGTTTTAATAATAGTGTAGGTATTCGCAATTAACAGTGATCACAATTAAAATTTTAATATAGGTAATATTATTATACGTAGAATTTCTCACCAAGGTCTTGTGATTAATTTAATGACATTATTAATTTTAATAAGTTATGCTTTCTTATCAAAAATGTATTACTATAACGATGAGTATTTATTATAATATTATAATTATACATAGATTAATTATAATTCTCTTATAAGTTGGTGTACTGGTTTTCATTTTATCCGTAGACTAATTTATTACGTATGTATGCGATGTCATAGTATTCGACTCAATAAAATATTATTTTACACTGGTCGAATAAAAATATTATCAAGACGAGATCAGTTTTGTACGAACAATTTCAAATACCAATACTGCATGCAGGGGAATCATGGGTAAAAGTTAATGGTTTTTTAAGTATAAGCTATGTAGACGAAATTAATCGATGTTTTTCGATCTACCGATGCAGACATCGTTTGACCTAATGTGTCTACATATTTCCTTTCAAAAATTAAGGTATTTTTGTTATCGACAAAAAAAAAAACCTTATAAATCGATACGTACATCGTTTACCCAGTTAGTTCAGTTACTGGAACCACCACTATTGGACATTCTTGCAGCTACATTTTTTCATTTCACCGATAGACGAAAACCGAAATGAACACGATCACGGTTAGCAGATTACTTACATTTTCTAGTTTTACCAGTTATAAACAATACATTAATAATATAACTATAATTATAACTTATATTATACAATTCATTAATTTATTATTTTTTTTTATTTTTTGTGCCGTCGACAATACAGGTTGCAGTTTTGGCGGTGTTCGTCTTCTCACAATGGTCGACCACCGCAGTTGTGGTGCCCACATATCCGACGGAAAAACCAAAGGTCCCAGTGCCAGCTCAACTATTGAGAAACGACTACGTCTACGATAATAGCGGACAGTTTAGTCTCAAGTGAGTTACATAGTTCATAAATTAACATACCTAACTACGAATTTTTTATCTCATAGATTTATAGAATATTATATGGTTAGGTACAATTATTTAATATCGATGGAAATAAAATAAACTCCTACCTATTAGTAGTTATCTGTTAGGAATCAAAATGTAGGTATTATCGTTTTGCTAACTTTTCTAAACAAAATGTATTACCTATCTATATTGAATATATATTATCATTTTGACATTTTTTAGGTACCTATTAAATACAGAGTGATTCAGTAAGAATTTGGCTACCTAAATTTAACCTATTAATCACGGAATGTATTCAAAATCAGGTTTTTGGTATTTTTAGGAATACTTAATACCATATTTCAGATTCTTTGATTTTTAGATGATAAATTCATCACTTTTTTCAATTTATACCACTATTTTTACTGTAAATAGCAACATTTTTTTTTAAACTCGTAAAGTTCAATTTAATATAGAACATATATGTTAAGTTGGAGGTTTAAAGTTACTTTTATTTTTTAAACTTGTAAAAGTTACAAGTTAAATACAAAACATAAAAATTCAACATAATTAAAAATTGGTTACATTTTTTTTTACTTTAATATATTTATCAGTCTTTGCTGAAGCTCAGTAAGTAAATTTTTTATAAGTTTATAATACACACAATGATAATAATATAATATAGTAAAAATAATACATATTAGAGTAATTGACAGAAAAAATAACACAAAGGGATCTAAATATCCAATGATAGACTGATATAACTGAAGTTATAAACTATTTAGCTAAAGTTTTGGTAAGTTTATTTTTCAAGAGATGAAGGCAACAACATTTTTTTAAACGTCGAACTGGTTTATCCGCTACCTTTATTGATGAGAAATTTTAAATTAATATGCTTGGGGAAAATACTAATATTTTATGGAAATTTATTTAAAGTTGTACCTACCTCTTCATTTTATTTACATTATTTTAATTCCTACCAAGAACTATTTCTTATTGCATTCAATACATCGACAGTCTTTAATTTAGTATTTAAGTACTTTAAGTGCACACATAATGTTATAAATACTACCATTGAGTATATAATGTACACTGTACAGTATAGAATATACAATATGAACCTACTCAATGATAATACCTATGACCGATTTTTATTTTTATCTATACAAAACAAAATATATTTAAATCAATTGTTATATAATGGAAAAATAACTTAACGTGAATATAAAATTAATTAACTGATTAGTAACTGAATATGATGAAAAGTAATTTAACTTATTAAATTATAAGTTAGGTACTTTAAAAGAGTGTAACTCGTTATGTAACTTAATTAAAAGTAATTAAACTTCAACTTTTTAACTTTTTATAATACCCAGCCCTTTTAAGTATCTGCTATAATTAATAAATCATCTCAATTTCTCTAGTTTATGATTCCCAGTATAAATCTAATTAAAATTATTTAAAAACGACTAATTCGAATTAAAATTTAAATACAACATTAAAAAAAAAAAAAAATGCTTACAATTTTCTAGTAAACAACGCTGTCTCTCATTTGAAAAAGTGAAATTTTATAGACACAAAGACAATCAACAAATTACATTTGAAATATGTGTATTGTGTATGTATGTAAAAAATTCTGTATAAGTATACTTAAAAGGTTATACATTTCAAAAATTTGAGTTTGAATAAATGCATTGTTAAAGGAAAAGCCCCCAAAAATTTGGATTAGCATGCGAATGACCTCACACTATATTATAGAGTAAATCGATGGTAAATAATAATATGTAACGATGTGCAATTTCAGCTATCAGGTGGATGACGGGACATCACAGACTAGGGAAGGAACGTTGGTGTTGAACGACGAAGGAGACGATTACGTTTTGATTCAGAAGGGCTCATATTCATACATTTCTCCCGAAGGCATTAAAGTTACGGTGACGTACACAGCCGACAAGGAAGGTTTCAAGATTGTCGAATCTACCAACGACGTCCCAGCCAGAGTGTAGCCGGAAAGTCCACAGTCATGGCCCGTAGTCATATTATGTCCATAGTAACATTATAATATTGTAGCAGGTTTAGTGCACACATGCACATTTTATATTGTTCATTAATCATTATTATCTTAAATTGATTATGTAGTTGTAGTATATAGTCGAAACGAAGAATCAACCACGTACCTATAGATTTGAGTGTGCGTGTAATTACGTCATAATATACAGAGTAGGTAGGTAATTATTAAAACATTTGGAACGCATGATTAATATTTGAAAATTTTTTTTCCTTACCTATATATCATAATAGTATTATATTACGAATTACGATGTATGTAAGTATATGTAACTTATTTTGTTTAATTGTATCACTAAACATAAATTGTGAAATAAATTATTTACCCACTATTTACTTAAGCCTATTAGTTTTTAAGTGGCACGTTTTTACTCGTAATTTCTTGTTCTGAACACAGCAAGAGAATGTTAAATACAAAATACATCTATTATTGAACCAATTGTTTGTTACTAAGTGGATTATGAAGTTTTGATCGTAATTAGAGAAGAATAACAGCGGACACACAATAATAATACAATTGTATTGTTCTACTCCGTTTCTCTACTCTTATTTAAAATGTTTGAAAATTATAAGAAGTTGATTCAATAAATCTTTGGGCGATTGTAAAATTGTATATGCAGCTATATTAGCCAGCTTGGCAATTTATTATCATAATTTAACCAACACATAAATTAACAAATTGTAAGCTAGGCCTCCCACTTTTCAGGTATTAAAATTTAATGTGTAAACAAGGATGTGAATTTAAATGTTATAGGTATACATAATACACCTGATAATGTTGGTTAGGGTCTTAGGGGAGCCAGGGCACGGAAGATGAAAAAATAATTTTTAATGACGATAGGTATTAGGTAATGATTATTATCATATTTATTCTAAACTTAAAACATTTAATTGCAGTGTTCCAAACATAATTACCGGTATTACATATCGTCGGCCTAATTCGCAAAAGTCGTATCTCCATTTTTTGTCATTTCGGGATTATTTACTCATAAAATAAAGAAAAAAAACTGCGTCTGTTGATACAATCAAATTTCCGATTTCATAATATTATCCTCCATGAAATTGATAATTAGAAATCGTCGTATCTCCAATTAATAATATGGACGAGCCTACAAATGCCATAGATCCGGTGGTAAATATTACTGTTGCGGAGCCACACTGTTGTTCATGTATTTATTCGATATCTACGTCGGTGATAAGATAACATTTAAATAATTACCGCGTGAATTTAAATATTATAATCATTATTATTATTTATTAATACAAGTAAATAATACAATTGAGTATTGTAATTTTTATATCCTAAATCTAAATTATTATACTTATAACTAAAAAAAAAAAAAAAAGTATCTTTAATAGTTTAATATCAATGATCTTTATTACAATCAAATGTCTCTCCGAATATGGGTCAAGACCTGTCTTGCTATTATTATTACCATCATATATCGACCTACACAATTTGTATTAGTGTAGTCTGTACTCTGTAGTATCTGAACATTAATGCTGCAGGTATTTATTTTATTGCTAGGGTATAGTTGTCATAAAATTATTAAAAGCTTAAGTTATATACGTATAGTATTAATTATTTTGTATAATATGTCTTTTGTTTGCAAACAATGTAATGCAAATTTTACCAAAAAATATAATTTAAGTCGACATCAATCAACTCACCACCAAAAAAATAAAGACGTTGACAATAAATTCGTAAGTATTTAAGAGACAAGAGTTATAACTTCTGATATATTTTTTTCTTGATACAAATTTATTTGTTTCAAATTTGTAGGAATGCAATGAATGTAATCGAAAGTTCAACCGCAAAGACATTTTAATACGTCATATAGAAATTCTACATAAGTGCAAAAGTGATTCTTTTGTAAGTTAATTAGAATTTATACTGCAGTACCTATTTGTTGTATATACTTTTTGATGTCAGTAACTTATTTTATGTTTATATTTTGAATATTTTAGAAATGTTCTCAGTGTTCAAAGATATTTTATAACAAATATAGTCAAGCGCAGCACATTCGAATTGCACATATTAAAAACATCTCTCGGACTGAGAAGAAAAAACCTTATAAAGACTGTAAGGTAAATATATTTTGTTATGCAGTTTTTGGAAAGAACGTTGTTAATGAATTTGAAAGATTTTTATGACTTTAAAATAATAAATATATTTAAGAGCTATAATTTCGTTAAAAATAATTGGAGAAAAAAAAATGAATATTATTATGATAGGCATCATGGTTATTTTTTATAAGCATTTAAAGTTCAAATTTCGTCAAAAACACAGTTAATTTGTAGTTCAAAATATTTAAAATATTAAATGTGTATAGCTAAGGCTAGACAATTTAATACAAGGTCTTTTATACAAGTACCTAGTTCATACTTTTACCGAAAAATTACAGATAATTTATGAAAATTGGTATGCAAATACAATGTTATTTTTCAAAAATGAATTCATTCTGGTAAGACATATATGAAATTGATGTCTTACTTACTATAGTTGACAGTTTAACTTGATTAATATTTTTTTGAAAAAGTAATAATAATACGGGCAATGGGCATGGGGCCCGTTAGCCACCCCCCTGCGGACGCCACTGCCTATGCGGCTATACTAGTATAAATAAATTATAAACTTCATTTCTTCATCATATTATTGAATAGGTATGCAATCTCTGCCTTAAAGACTTTGCCAGTTTTAAAGGGTTGAAAATTCATAAGAAAAGCGTTCATCCAAAACGTACCTTAGAAGGGACAAATTTTCTCCGTGTCAATGATTTTTTTGTAAGTAATTATAAGTAGAAAATGGCGTGTAAAATATTTCTTCTTTTGATAATTTTATAGGAATGTCATGAATGTAATAAAAAATTTTTCCGGAAAGATACCTTAAGACGACATATAAAAATAAAACACTTCTTAGAACGAGATGATTTTGTAAGTGTGACATAGAAAAATATCATTACCAGTGGTTATATATGTTCACATCTACTTATTTACCAGATATCCTATTTTACTTTTAAGAGTAGCAGGTAAGTAGATTGTTGAGTATTGGTCCACTTTATATCTAACATTGAAATACATATCATCATAGTAATTCGTACATTGTATGAAGGTGAGATCTGTTTACTTCCTTGCACACAATGTAATGCGTGTTTCCACGATTACACGTGTAATTGCAAGGACCATTCAATAAAAAATAATATGTGCAAGCATATTCACGCCGTTGCAATGAACCTCCTCAGCCAAAAAACCGACAGCAAATGTAGACAAACAACAAAAACAAAAAGCACACACAGACGTAGTATACAGACAAAGGTGACATGTAAAGATGATGAACCGATGGAGACAACAAGTATAGACGAGGAAAATCAATCACACCATGATGATGATGGTAATAAGAATTAATTGAAAAATGTTTATTTAATTTATATTTTCAAAAATTTTTTCAGATGTTTTATTACACAAATTAAGGCAGAATATATTACAAGAAATTGAGCAATCGTTACAGCAGATAACATCACGAGAACAACTACAACAGTTAAATAAAAAACTGGTTGCACCCATCCATGTTTCCATTGCTGCTTCAAAAATTGAAACTGTGCCTTTGAAACAAAAAAATAAGTTGGAAAGGGGTAAAATGAAACCACAAAAGAGAATTTTTGACGTAGGTCTACATTGAATTTTAATTCCAATTTGGTGCAACTAATTTTTTTTTGTATTACAGGTGCCAAAAAACAAGGCAAATAAAGAAAACTAAAATTTCTTATTTTAGGATTTTTTGTTCGGATAATGAACTGTAAAAAAAAAGTAGGATTTTGTAGGACGTATTAGATAAAGTTTAATAAATTATTATTATTTTTTTTTTTGTAAGACGTGTTAGAATTATCATTCTTAATTTTTTTTTTTTTTTTTTGTTATAAGTATAATAATTTAGATTTAGGATATAAAAATTACAATACTCAATTGAATTATTTACTTGTATTAATAAATAATAATAATAATTATAATATTTAAATTCACGCGGTAATTATTTGAATGTTATCTTATCACAGACGTAGATATCGAATAAATACATGAACAACAGTGGCTCCGCAACAGTAATATTTACCACCGGATCTATGGCATTTGTAGGCTCGTATAATATGGCCGTAAAACGTTTTTTTCTTCTCCTGAACAATTTGTAATTTTGGACATACGACCTTTGCGAATTAGGCCGACGATATATTTTGTTGTCTAAATATTGACATATTTATAATATAAATGTACCTACGTTATAAATAAATAAACACATTTACACACATTATATTTTTTCGTCCTGAATAATTTGGGTGGAACCAAAATATTGTAAAGAGACGATAGAAGCGTGAGTTGAAAAGTTTGAATACATCTGATACACACAAATACACAATAAATAAATTGTGTCCAAATCAGAGGTGGAGTGGCTCCAAAGTTCTTACCAGGCAAACTCATATTTTCAGACCACTTTTCAATATGAACTCTACTAATTAATTACTAACATTGACGTAATTTAAATTTTTGCTTGGAAAGTGTTTTGAAATATTTTTTGTCTAATCAACTCGTAGCGATCATATTATTATACTGATCATTACATAATATGTCTTTCTATATTATTATTTTCGGTTTCATTGAACACTATAAAATGAAATAGTATAATTTATTATACCAATATACTCGTATTTATTTAGGCTGTAATATTTATTTTAGTAGAAAATGTTCTTGACGCCTATTTTTTGGAACTTCGCTTTTCTTAAACTTATTAATTTTATTTTATTTTTGCTTTGAACAATCTACCAATTTAACGGTGTTTAATGTTTAAAAAAAAAATAATAAAATAAATACAATTTTTGTTATATCCTTTTATTTTTGATAATCCAGAGTAACTATTAATTATAATTTATATCCTAAGTACTTAAATCATGATCACAAGGGAACAATTCTAGGAAAGTTTTTTTTTGTTTTCATTTCATTATTTTATGAAAATTTGAAAATATTTTATAATTACATTTGCTTCGTTTTTTTATTATTATTTAAATGTAGTATATATATATATATTTTTTATTAGGGTTGAGGCTTCGTCAACAAAGATAATTAGCCTGTGGTACTGTAGGGGGGGGAACTGTAGGTTGTTAACACTTGTGTGGGTTTTGGCAGAATTTTCGATTTGGGCACCCGTTGGTATCTGCCATGCCGATAGACGATGCCATCCGATGGACACCGTGACTTGCCCGAAGAAAAATGCCGCCCGTGACCACGGGATCGAACCGGCGCCGGCAGCGTCGCAACCGACGCCTTAGACCGCTCGGCCACTCCATCCCCCAAATGTAGTATAGTTGTGTTATTTTAAAATTACTTATTTTCAAACCATTCAACCTATTCTTTATTTCTGTGGAGGTATTTAATGATTATACGTTGGAAGTTTGGTATTTTTATATTTGTTTTAGTGGTTTAATTGATTTTTCTAGTAGTACACGATAAGGTATACATTACCTATATTTTGTAGTGGCCTGTAGATTAAATCAGGTTATACACTTTATGTAATTTTATCGGCTAAACCGTACAATCAACCTTTTTCTAACATGTTATTGCAGGATCGAGCTTACAACATTAAAGGTAATCCTGAACACGTACATATACACAATAATTAATCTTGAATATGTGTAATATGAACCTTCAGGAAAAAATATTTTGCTCCTAGGTATGAAATTGAAAACAATGATTTAATATTTTTAAATATAAATCTTAAAAACAAGCCAGATTAGAAATTATTGTTAAAAAAAAATACTCATTTTTATACGTATACTACGTACCTATCTATTTTAAATATCTATAATTTACAAACATGTGGAAAAGTTTTCGAAAAAATTAGTGTTGTAGGTTAGAAATTTATACATTTCTTAGTTTAAAATAAAAAATATAATAGCCTTAGCAGTAATATAGCACATTCATATTTTACACACATTTTTACTATTTTACTGTACCTATGATATTACATTTATTTTAAAATGTTAATAAATAAATGTAATTAATGATTATATACAGAGAGAGTGTTTCATTCATATTAAACTTAAGATGATAGTTTTTTTGTAAATGTTGCACTTCGTAATTGTTACAAATGTGATCACTGATTACCTATAATTGATGTATTTCTAATCTGTGTAGACTTCGCGTAACAATTTTTTACAATCGCATTATCTTATATTTAAACATTTTGTTTTATTTCGAGCATGATTATTAATTTAATTGCTGGTAGTTAATATTTCGATAAGTAGATAACATGCTATAAACTGCATTAATTTGCGAAAATATAATTTAACTATACGTAATATTATTATTCATTACACAATAACATATTATTTTATACCTGGGGATTATAATATATAAATATACTTACGTAAATGCGTATATTTAATGTTATTATTGATTTATTCGGAGTCTAATTTTTTTTCAACATATAATTCTAAAGAAAATTCTTGTATGAAAAACGTTTTCATAAAATGCAAAAATAAAATGAATAACATGCTTATACAATAATTCTTAGTTATTTATAACCGAGAGGCGCTTGGTATGCCGCTGGATTAGGTACTACTGATTTTCGACTTTATATTTTTCAATTTTATCTTTTTGCCACATTATAGCTATAAAGTCAAATTAATTGAATGCTACCTACTAATTACTATACATTTGTAATCAATACGATTATTTATAATCGATTGGTATGCCTCAATGCTGAATTTGTCAAAAACCAAGTCATAATTCATAATTTGTCATTTTTCTATTACTTATTATTGGTGTCAATAATTATTTAGTATATAAACAAACACAAATAAACACAAGTATAATTTGTTTTAATTATATTTTTAATACGTAACAACTAATGATATACCTATCATGGTACCTATACCCATGTGCACATTTTATTTTCCAACGGTTGACCAGTATAATATATATTATAGTCATATTCTTATCTATAGGCATCCAAATGGGCGAATAAACGTAGGAAATAAATCGCACTCCTAGAACAAGACTGTCACAACTCAAAATTTATAGTTTTGAGAAAAATCAATTTGAAGTTTGGACTTAAGATATTTTAATGAATTTTTTACTTATGCGTTTGAAATTTAACACTTAAATACTTACAACCATACTTTACAATATTAATTTTTCAAATATTTTGAAATTCACTCTTAAACCCAAAAATTTAGACTTGTGGCCATTTACAATTTTTTAAGTAAATGCAAGACTGCCATATTTTGAGATGCGACTATATGAGAATTTGGCGCAAAACGAAAAGCTATTCTATTTATAAATACAATAGAGTCATAATTCGTGTTGTGGCTGCACTATCACAAATTATAAAATGCAATACTGCCACAACTCTAAATATTGCTGTTTTGCACTCAACATATTATACGATAATTAGTTTTTATTCAGTGCAAGAACGCCACAAGTCGAAATAAGGCAGTCTTGAATTTTGACTTCAGTGATAATTTGGATAAATAAAAATAAGTATACTGCCATAAAGTAAATATGGCTCTCTTGCATTGAAAATTAACCAATATTTAAATAATTCAATACAGACACATCTCTATAGTGGCTAAATGAAAAATGATATTGAATGTGGCGTTCTTGCATTTAAAAGAGCTTATTTTTCTCTATCCAAAAGTAGTCATAACTCAAAATTCATGAATTTTGAGTTGTGGCAGTCTTGTTCTAGGAGTGCGAAATGACATTATTACGTTAGAAATGTACGGGAAAAAATATATTACCTATAGTAGGTACATCTGATGTGTGAATATGTTAAACTGTTGTGTATTCGAAAAATTGTATTTATCATGTTAAAGAGGGTGTCCTTTCACTACGAAACCGTTCTTGTCGGCCGAGTACGACATTTTTACGTTGACGTCTTCGGGGGTGATGAACGAGTACAACCCCTCTTGGTTCATCACGAAACCGGTTCCATCGTCGTTCTGCGGCAGCGTTCCTTTTTTCGTCTGAGTCGTTCCGTCGTCAAGCGCATAACTATAAAATACGTAAATGGGTATTATTGAAGACGTGTCTAACGATAAAAGTATAATATTATGCAGGTACCGTCTACCGTATAAAATATTATATTGTAACGTATGGATAATGGGTTAAACATAAATATTATTTTTTTCCATTAAATTTTTCCACGTCGTTTTTTTTTTTCATTTTTTTCATTTTTCCACTGTTAGAAACAATGAGACTGGTGTTTTTAATGTTTTTTCCAACGCAGTGCGTGGGCAAAAATAATATTATATTGTTCAGCGGTCCACGTATAACAACCGAAGTACACACCATTTTGTCAACTTGTAGTAATTTATATTATGTGTAGAAATTAATAATCAATACAATTAATTATAATTTATAGGTAATACGCTCAGTGCCTAATACCCGAAGTCCGAAGACAACGTCTAAGCTAAATATTGTGTCATAGATATGACACAAATACTAACTTAACTATTAAATGAAAATATGCAAAAATCGGAATTTTAAAAAGAAGTTAAATACAATAGTTAAAACGTTACTACAAAGAAAAAACACTAAACGTTCAATCAATAAGACAACTTTTATAGGTAGTACGAGTATACATTAGTGGACTGTATTAATACAGTATACAACACTCGTTCGATGATAAAACCAGCTGTAAATGACAAAAAGGAGACTCATTTAAATCAGTAGATGACAAGAGTTTAAAACGAAAACCAAATAATACGAAATTATGAAAGCCGCTACAAGCAGCACGTTGGTCTAATTTTCTTAATCTACATATTTAAGTACTTTTTAAAATTTGACAATATTCAAAAACTCGTTTATTAAAATGTAATTTCATAAAATACCACCAATTTTGATTAATAAACAGTTCAAAATGCAAAAAGTTCAGAAATAGCACTAAAATCAAAAAATTTGCAAAAATTTGCAAGATAAATATATATATATATATATATATATATATTTGAAGATTACCCTTGCTAATTTCTTAAGTATTTTATAAGAAATATACAATTATACAAATGCCATAAAATCCCAATCCTGATCAATAGCATTGAGTCAATGTCAATAGTCTAAAATCTATATGTGGTAGCTCGCGTTTAATACAATGATGATCAGGTTAGGAGTTTGCGAAATTTTACCAATGTTCAAATTTTGCCAATAAATATAACCAAAATCATTTTGGAATTTGGAACGTTATACTCGTAGAAATTACCAAAAATATATTTACATGAACTGGCCTTTTGCATCCGAGACGCTCTCGTGTCTCACCAGATACGTTTTGGGCTTGGTCAAACTAGTCGCCGGTGCCGCCGCTGAGAACTCACAGTAGTCGACCAACAACAACACCGACAACGCAATGATTCGCACCTGCGGAAAATAAATATCGAAACCATATCATTATATTGTAATATTATTCTGTGTGACGCAATTATATCCGCAGCGAAAAATCGTAAAGGTAAAATTGCAACTGTGCATTATTATTAAGTTAAAAAAAATATACTGTGTATTATATTTTAATGTAGGTACTAACGGCCACCGTCATTGTTTTTGTTGTTGTTGTACTTTAAAATAATTGTACTGGTTGTGCTGCTGCAGATACTCCGAGACCGACTGAGAGGATCCGATCCCGAGCCCGGCTTTTTAAATGATACCCAAAAACCAATGTGCAAGAGTTCAAATGTCTGAGATTATAGTGTTTATAAACATCGAAAACCTACGAAGCGAGTTCACTTAAAAATCCATTAATATGAGTAATTACAATATTTACAATCCACACGGATGACACGCACAATGCACATAACACAGGTAGGTATACTATGGTATCAATTCAACTAGTTAAAAATATAATGTGTTAGAACAACCAGTTTTTCGTTAATTCACGTATTTCTATTTGTGAAGGTATTCGTTCATGTTATAGGTACCCAACGTTACGGTAGGAGGTACGTTTTTTTCAGATTCTGAGTGAAGTGAGTAATGTTTTATTTTTACAGCGAAGTGTATGTTGGTTTTTTTGGTGTTTTTCATGACAGTTTTTGGAGCAGAAAAAATGTTTCAATCATCAACTTTGAGGTTGGTTCTGGTAGAGAATTTGATTTTTTTAGGCATCTACCGCTTGTAAGGAATGTCTCGATACTTTTTTTAAATGATTTTTAAAACCAACTAAAAACAGGCAGATAACGGAATATTTACAAAACATAAGTTTTCTACAAAAAATGTTATTATTTGTGGTTTATTCTAAACGAATAGCCGCAGACACTCGAAATATTCATTAAATATTTATAATACGATGTCATACACCCGATAAAATTTTAAAAAAAATTTGACTTGTTTTAATTTGATCTGTTTTTACTTTTTTTTTTCTCGATATAAGTATGTTGATAAGTGATAACACTTTTTTTTTTGAACAAAATGCTTAAAATTGTAATATTAGCTGACTATATTCATACGCATTTCTTATAGCAGTTAAAAAATATCGAAAATAAATAGTCATTTTTTATTTAAGCATTTTACGTTCAAATTTTGATTAATTTAGTTAAATAATTAGTTTTACGAATAGGGGCTGAGTGGCTGACACATCCATTACAGTGAACTGTACTCAATCACGAGAGAGGTATACTTAAATCTTACAATAGAGCAGAGCAGAGCAAGATTTTTAAAATTGTTTAGTTCATGGTGTGCAGTTGATTTGGTTTGATTCAATAAGAATAATTATTTTTGTGCATATATATTATAGCATTATAACAGACAGGTTTTTGAATTTTGAACATTCATTATTCGTCCTAAAAATTATTGCAACAAAAATATCCACAAGACTACAAAACTAAATATTTAAATGCATACTGCGATTCCCGAGCATATTAATTATTAAAGTTATTGTGGATATTTGATTGTAGTTTATTGATTTTCGGATTGTAAATACTAAATAGTGAGTACCCACAGCAGAATTGTAGTTATATTATAATTATAGTGTTTAGTCTGTGAAATTTAAATTATTGATAATAAAATTGGGATATATTATAATATTGTCAAGTATCTAATTAATATCGCATTTGCCTAGGTATTGATTTGTTTACCGACTTCTGATCAATGTTATTGCGATTGTAATTAGGTGTTTTTAAATATATTACCTGATTAGAATAAAATGTTTTGAAGAATTTATATACTTCTGTACAAATCGATTTTTTGTTAAATGTTTATGGTATTTTAATTGATATAAAAAAGCATTTTATCACACATGCATTGAGAGTAGCTCGAGGCTTGTGTAGTCTATTGGGACTGTTGTAATTTAAAACTAACTAAGGTGAGACACTGTAAAATGTTTTTGAACCTAGAAAACAGTGTTAATCGCGTGTCCTTGACAGAGGCGTATAATAAATTGGAGGTGGTAGGGGCTATGTGATCTATTTATATACTGTTGTTTTATATAAATTTGAAGTTTAAATAAAAATGTATAAATTATTACGAAATAAAATTTTTTAAATGTTCAATGTTTAATGTTTAGTTTAGTATACTCGATAAACAATAACCATGATATTGTCAAAATAAATTATGGATTTCACTTTCATCACTTTATCACATATTTTCAATATTTATTTATAAACCTGTCACTCTATTCTATGTACCCATACTACATACATAAGGCTAGTAGATAATGGGTATTGGGTATAACCGCAAATCCTGAAACATAATGTTATAGTAAAAATGTAACTTGGAGACGTCGTACGAATATGTATCTACTACGAACGCACACCGTCGAGCTGTCCATTGTTTTTTGCAACTTCTTGTACAAACTGTCACACTACGGGGTTTGTTCTTAGTTCATTTTTATAAAGAACTATTTAATATGTAATATTATAAATTATAACCATTGCCAACTTAATTTTAAATTGGTCTTAACCAGGGATCGAAACCGTTTCAAATTTTAGAGGTAACGGTTTCGGTTTTTGAGAACGGTTTTCTACATTTTATGGTTTTGGTTTACGTTCTAAGATCGGTTTTTCAATTTTTTTAGTTCTGGTTTCGGTTTCAAAAATGGTTTTTCAAATTTATCGGTATCAAATGGGCTAAATTTCCAGTACGTTTCCAAATTATAGAGAAAAAAGGAACAAAATAAAATTAGAAAAACCGGAATTTTCACTTAACCAATTTTTTTGAAAACTGGTGTTGTTATTATATCATAACAAAAAACTTTAGGATTGAAATTTTCACCAAATATTCATATTAATAGGTAATTACTAGACATATAATAATATAAAAAAATTAATAAATTAAAAAATAAAATTATGTTAAATTTCGGGTCAATTTTTGCTATTTATTAAATAAATTTAAAATGTTCAACTTTTTAAAAGTTTTTTTCGATTTACCTATGTATGATACTGTTTTTAAATTTTTGTGAAAAAGCTTGAATTTTTATACAAGGTTCCTTAAAAGTCGTTTTTACCATAATTAAAAAATATTGAAAATACATATTCACATTTTTTTTTTAATTGCGTATTTAATACAACTACTTGTCATTACTGCTCTACTGCTGCAGTGATTTACTGTATCTAAATAAATTGACTTAGTACACCCGATACCTATCACACGGGACTATTTTCCGGGTTTTTTTCTATGACGATACATAGGTTATGCAATTAGTAGAAACAAACTACAAATTATATGGTGAAAATTTTCCGTTAATATTAAAACGAACTCGAGCAACTCCAAATATCATACTTTATATGGATGCCGGTAGGGAAAACTCAGCAGACAATAAAAAAAATATTTTTATACATATATATTATATAGGTTGAAGTTTGAATAACTCTGAGTGAATTTTAAAACATAATCTTGAAATAATATGAATAAAAATACATATATGATACCTACACAATATGAAACAATATAATTGAAATAATATGCATATACCTACTTATTACTTATTAAAATATTTATATAGTAATATACTTTGTTATTTGTTATTTATTTATTTTGCAAATAAATAAATTTTTTTTTTTTTTTAATTAACCCACGGAAACTAAGGCCATTGGGTGGTTTTTAAATGTGCAGGGGGAGGGTACTGTAGGTTTTAGATTGGCAGAATTTTCAAGTGGGCACCCGTAGGTATCTGCCATGCCCGGGTTTTGGTTGGCGGCAGTGGCGTCCCCGGGGGAGGATAACGGGGTGAAGCCCCCCCAGTTTATTATTATTACTTAAAAAAAATAAATATTTATCAAGTTTCAACTGTCAACTATAGTAAGCAAGACGTAAATTTCATATACCTACGTCTTACCAGAATGAATTAATTTTTGAAAAACCATTGTATTTGCATACCAATTGTAATAATATAATAATATAATAATATAATAATATATAACCAAGCTGGTTACCAAACAATTTTAATAAATTTTCATTTTTTTTCTTCAATTATTTAAAAAAACACTGAGCATTTTCAATTTCGACATCTAAAAGTACAATTTGCTTCCAAAAACATACATCGGACATCGAAGTTTATGATCAGAGAATTTTTTCTACCAGAAAAGTTGAGAAGTTAAAAATACATATTAAACTCAAATGAACGTCTAAAATTATTAGACTGGACAAAATAAAAATAAAATTGTAACTAATTTTCAAGCCCCCCTCCCAATTGAAAAATCCTGCGTACGCCACTGTACGGCGGCCTCTCTATCCAGACACCGTGACTTCCCGAAGAGAAGTGCCGCTCATGGCCGGGTTTCGAACCGGTGACGGCGAGTATCGCAACCTACGCCTTTGTCCGCTCGGCCACTTCGTCCCCCAGAAAATGTTTACAATAGGTTATTTAATACAAATAGATAATCCTCTTCTCACCTTCTATAAGCTAAGCTTGTATTGAAGGTGATGAGGTCCTTAAATAGTATATAATTAATTAATATAAGATTTAATATAGGTAATATACATAATATAAGTAGGCTAAGACAGAACAGAATAGATAAAAGAAAATTTTTATTACAATGTAATAGGTAATATAAGAGAAAAACAAATATAAATAGCTTTTGAATAACTATTAAGATACCTATAATATTACTGCATGCACAAATTATTATTGTATTTAATATTTATATAAGTTTTTAGATTTAACAATTTTTAATAACTAATAATAGAAATCACATTTTTAATAGTTTATTTGATCTACTTGGAATTTAATTCAACAGGTAGAAAAATTCTTAAAAATTGAGATATATTTTATTTTATTATGATTTATTTCATAATAATATGGTGTCCTTATACGTTTAAAAATGTTTGATACAGTGTCATTACTAGCTATGGATAAAAACGTTAACCGAATTATTTATACATATATACATAATATGGTACTCAAAAAATGTGAAAATTCCAAGTCTTGACATTCTTTTGATTTTTTTTACAAGGCGTATCTTGAACAGTTGTGATTAGGAAGAAAATGTAATATATTTTTTCAAGATAAACAACAGTCTAGTCAGTTTGCGTTAAACACTGAAATATGTCATTTCAAACAAATACAATTCATATAAGTGTATACATATAGATATTGTTTTAATGATTTTAGGATGTGTTATCATCATTTTAACGCCAGAAGCAATCGAATCACAACCTACTTAGTGTAGTGTATTATGGTGGTTATTATAGTATAGACAAGACTGTAAGCTGAACTCCGGAATAGCAATGGTAAGTTGTTTCACTCGTGTGATAGATATTTTAGTTTTTTTAAATTTAATAATACGTAGCATAATAAATCATATAATTATTATTTTAAAGAATTTTTTACTCTGTAAGTAATATTATGAAAATGTTTTTAAATATTTTAATTACGTTGAAAATATGCACTAGGAAGTGGTACTAGGAAGAATAAATTATAGGATCCAAGTCATATTGTATTACTTTTTAAGAAACATGTACTTATTCACTTTCCACACATTAATCCAATCATTTTTGGTCAACCCTATAAATATTTTTTAATTTTTGAAGAATATTCATTTTTATGTCATTCGCTCATATGTTTGAGGGGATTATTCCACCCGGTGGTTTTCTCTTTGTCTAACACACGCGCGGCATAGTATTTTAGACGTTTGTTTGGCCAAACATACCATTTGATCTAATGAAGCGATAATAATTCTGAAAACAGATTTGAATTTGTTGTCAAATCTACTTGAAATCAACTTCCCCAAATTTTTGATATTATCCCCTGAATTCTTAAAAACGTTATATTAAAAAAGAGTAATTAAAAAATTGACGTATTTAAATTTTTATAGAAGTTAAAATCAAAAAACCAAAAATGTGGGACTGCCGATTTCATTAGATCGCTTCCTTAGATCAATCGGTATGTTTGGCAAATAACCCGTCTAAAATCCTATATCTCGTGTGTGTTAGACAAAGACAGAAAATCACGGTATCGAATCCCCTTAATTTAATTGGCATTCAACTTAAATACGTACTTAGTAATTTGGAATAATACTTATTAGTACTCAAACATTTTAATTTCTTATGTGCTATAAACTTTTGTTTGTAGAATTGTAATATTTTTGTATTGCATAATCTGTTAATATTGCAGAAACCTGACATTGGAGGAACGTCGAGAATCCTATAATAGATTAATATATATTATTATTTTATTTAAAATATTACAATTTTTATGCTAAAATTCTATGATGAATTAAAATTAAAATATAATTTTTCTATAGGTGCGCTAACTTATTGTGTACTGTACTTATACATTTTAAGGTTTTACATATCAATATTCATAACTCATAAATATCATATATATTGTTAAACATAGTGTTTCTCTCATCTAAAATAAGTTAAAACTAATTATTTTTTAAATTATTTTTCGAAATCTTATATTACAAGTTTGAATTTAATCCATTTTTACAACTTTTTAGTTTTTGTATTATTATTTATTTTTAGCAACGTAATCAAAAATCAAAGTCCAATGCGCCCTGTAAAAAATATTCATCTATCTAACAAAAAAAAATTACGGAAATCGGACCAATCTACGAGGTGTGAAAGTTTTTCCTGTAAACTGTGTTTTAACCGATATAATACACCCTGACCCTATCACCCCCCCCCCTAAATAGGTATTGGGTAGTAGATTATTGAAAAAGTCTTATAATTGAGGTGGCAACTAAAATATAAAATTTAATTTTCAAATTTTATAGAATTGCGGAAAATTTGAAAAATCGCGACCAAGGCCCCTTAACGAAGTTCTTTTTAATTTTTCCGATAGTTTCCTAAACTAATAACTGAATAGAATAATAAATAAACGACATACCTACTGAAAATAATAAAAGAAATGCTCATTAATCATTATTCTCTAGGAAATATTTTCTATAATATTTCCATAATATGTTATTGTGAATACGTTTTCCGTATAGATATATCATACATGTATAACAATAAATAAAACAAATTTAAAAATTAATAATCTTTGAACAATTATGATAGGTAGTAAATATACTTTTTTTTACCATCATACACATCAGGTTATATTATATTATTATTGTTATATTTATCAAATAATGAATTATAGATAGGTATCTTTCACGTTTCTTAGTCCCGATTTTTAATAACTAAAAAGGGTATATTTTGATCAACTATAATTTTTATTTGTGAATTGTTTGAGGAATTGCGATCTTCATAAAACAATAAATATTGAAAATTTAAGTTCTTTTTAATTGTTAATGTGTAAACTTATCTGATAAAACCTATTAAGTTGGTTGTATGTATAAGTAATTTACATAACTATATATATATATATATATATGTTATGAACGTTTGTACGTGATATTTTAGCATTAAATACGAATCATGACTATTTAGAGTTTTGGAATTTGAGGTATGTAGATAAAAATATAAAAAAACTGCCAATTGCAGTAGGTACTATATTATAGGATAATATGTACATCACGATTTTAAATAAAACAGTTTATTTTTTAAGTTTTTGTTGAATATTATATATTAGGCATTATGCTTATTATTATTTATTATACATGATTATAAAATATTTATGTAATAAAATATTACAATTTAAAAACATTATTTAAATAGAATCTACCCTAAAACATTAAAAATAATCTAATAATGTATAGTCTTAGGACCCTATTAGAAATAATACAAAATATAAAAGGTACACAAAATATTACAAAAATGTATATCTTGATAGAATTGTTTAGATGTTTGAATGTTTAGACACTCATTAGTTTTAAGATTTCTTACAACATTTATTAATCATAAGATTGAATATTTTAAACATAAAAATATTTTGATAGTATTAATAATCAGTCCCTATAGTTATGACATTTTGGATAGACGTACCTAATATAATTTTTAGGTAGATACTTAAATAGTAATATGTTATATTTTCATAGATAACGAACTAGTTAAAATCTAGTTTTTTTAAAGCCATTATTGATATTATGTAGTATGTACATGCAGATATACTAAGTGTTACCACTTATCAGTGGTGTAGCTAAGATTTTGAATTAGCCTCCCTCTTAGAAATTCCCATACAAGCTGATTTTTTTCTTCAAAATCTTCAAAATGTAATACAAGGTTCCTTATAAGTTTTTCTAATAGCAATTTATAATTTTTAGGAGTAGATTTTTTCGTAATTCATCAAATTATCTTAATTTTAATGGTATGACAAAAATCGTTTAACGCTGAAATTTCAATGGAGAGTTCCAGACCTAAACAGGGTACGCCAAAATAATGACATTTTTGCTTGACCAAAATACTTGGAAATTTAACACAAGGTTTCTCATAAGGTGTTAAAATACTTGAATAAAAAAAAATTTATTCAATGCTCCTTACACGTATTTTTTTCTGAAACCCAAAAATTTAAAAATAAATAATCAAAATTTATTTTACAAACATTTTAAGTTCAAATTTTGATGAAATTGGATGTTTAAACGAAGGATAACAATTTTATCGAAAGTTATTTTATAGTTATTCAAAAATATTATTTGTGGAGACTTGAATATTTTACGTACACCCATTATTATTTAATATATTCTACTATAATACACTTATACACAGACATTTTCCAAATATATTTATTCATTTTAAGCTATATTCACACATTTTACGGTAAGGTGGGTTTCATTTAAAACTTAATAACAATATTAATATATTATAATCTACAATATAAATATTTAGGTACTATATTATAATTAATGATTTTTTAATGAGATGTTTTTGGAAAAATTGAATTTAACTTACCATAAAATAAATTATTATAATTGAAATATAAATGTCTAGTTAGTAGTTCAATATACATAGTAATAAAGGTTAACCGTCTCCGTTCAGAATTGTTTTTTGTATGCACTCTGCAACAATAATATTTAGTTCTATTTTAACATATCCATAGATAACACAGTTACATATTCAATGATAAGGTACATTCAACACCCGTCACCCACTGTAGAACTAGTTGAATGAGTTGATACTTACTTGCCCACTTTTTTAGTTATTTTGATTTATTTCTTTAAGACCATGTTAGAATTATTGCATTGATTATATTTTTGAGTTATTTAATTCAAATTGTATATTATATGGAGAACCCCGATGAGCATGTTGATGTTGTTGTTTAATATTATGACCGTGGAATTCTTCATTTTTAATTTAAATATATGAATACCTACCTACTTACTTTTAATTACATTTTCACATTTCAGGTATTTATGCAATTTGTACTTATTTAATTTTTTATTGTCTTTCCAGGCACCTAAACTGTTGAGGATAACAATTATTCAAGTTTTATTGTGGAACATTATATTTTCTCTATCTGAGAGTATTGAATTAAATGAAGACAGTAAATTATTATTAAATAATTTACGCTATCAAGTACCGTACACAACACATATTTGTGATCGTTTGAAAAATTCACCACTGGTTGTTAATCATAATAACAATGAACCTCCCTCAGATGGAACTGATAATTTTGAAAATTCGCGCTTAGCTAAGGATTTGAGTGAACCATCAAATCCCGTAAAAAGGCATGCTATCATACGATGCTATAACCGCCTCCCTGCACAGGAAAATAACGAACCTAATAAGCCAGAGCTAATAACAAGCGAGTGGCAAATGAAGTCTACTCCTGTAAACAACGCGTATGGCGATTTGTATGACCATTCGATGGTTCAAAAATCAAAACCTTTAAGTGTAAAAGAAATCATTAATTCACAGAAAGTGATTGATCAAGAACCCTTATATCATATAGCACCATTTTTACAGAAAGGAAATCTTATTGGCAATAATCCGAAACACTCACAATTTCAATCAAATTTACAAGGTACGAAAAACAAAATTAAATCATTAATTTCTACGCCACAACACAAGTTAGGCGAAATAATATCAGATAAATTAGTGGACGAAAGTCTACATAACAAACTAGCCCAGCCGTCACTAACTCTTCCATCACCTCCCAAATTTACTAAGTATCCCGTGATTAATCCATTGATACAGCCACCTGAAGTACTCACTAATGTTGATACAGCTGTGTTAATAACAGATAGCTACAAACAGAGTAACCCGTCAACACCGTCTCCACTTATACCACATATACCGAATAATAATTTTTACCATAAAGATTTGACAGTTGAAAACAAACCATTTTTATCTCTTCCATCAATTCAACATAACAAGCCGAAACCTATAGACATATTTTATGACAGACGTGTACCACCTATCGTTTATCGGCCTACACTTTCTCAGTTCGTGCCGACTCCTGTCATCAAACCAATACTTTCACCAATTCTGGTGCAAAAAGAAGTATCGTATCCTTCAACAAACGAACAAGCACAGGCCAATATTGGTTTGCAATCGCAATATCCTAAAATAATCAAGAACGGCATTGCTGAATCAACGTCTCAACCAATCGAAAAAGAAAATTCAATATATTTGCCACATAAAAAACCACAGGAATTAATTGGTTCGCCACCTACTCAATTTGTAAAAACTTCTGATATAGAAACATTTAAGCCAATTACAATCGAAAAAAAAGTTTCAATATATTTGCCATATAAAAAACAACAGGGGTTAATTGATTTGTCACCACCTACCCAATTTATGAAAACTTCTGACACAGAAACGGTACATAAACCGATTACGATCGAAAAAGAAGTTCAAATATCAGAGCCAAAAGAACAAAAACCACCTATAGTTGATTTGCCATCACAAGCGCCACAACTTATAAGTACTCCTGAAAAAGAATCAATATATAAGGAAATTACAGGGCAAACAATAGAACCAGTAAATGTGCCGTACGAGCAAAAACCACCAATAATTGGTTTGTCTTCACCTCCTCAGATAACCGAGTCTTTCAACAGTGAATCAACATCACAAATAATGCCGAGTGAAAATGAATTTTCAATGACCAGTGAGTATGAACAACAACAGCCAATAGCAAATTTTTCACCACCTCCACCTCCACAACTTCAACAAATTAAAATACAAAAGGAAATATCCATACCTTTATCATACCAAAAACAAATAGCACCTATAAAGCTAGTCAAAACTATCAACAGTGAATTAATATCTCAAAAAAAAAATGCATTTTATGATCAACAACAACCAGTCATTTTGCCATCACCTCCTCCACTAACCAAGACTACTACCTCAGCTTATGGCAATTAATTAAAAATACATTTTAGTATTAAATATAAATATATTAATTAATTTGTCAAAATATCTAAATTTTTGATTTGAATCAATATGTCAATCTATTTCAATAGACAAAAATGTATTAATATTTATACGAGTTTGCTGTATAAATCTCAATCAGTTATTATTAGTTTAGTCATTACTCATCACATACAAATCTAACCAAGATTTCAGCAATCAATGAAAATTTAAAAAAAAAACATTTTTAAAACTTGTAATGTATAAAACTATAAAATATTTATAGAATTCAATTTTCAAACACTTTATAAGTTTATAACGTACTGCACTACTGCCTACACAGTACACACTTTTATATAAATTGTTGTTTATGGAGTATTATAATATTGGAATTTAAATTTCTTTTACTATATTTTAATCATTTTTAATAATTGTATTTATTTACTATATTATCTCGATGTTTATGTAAGAAAATAAAACATAAAAAAGTTTATCAAGTTTAAAAAAAATATTTCATACCTATTTCTTTGTTTTATTAAAAATGTTATATTGTTTATTAATTTAAAAACTCAATATATGTAATTATGGCCGGTACATTGTTAATTATGTTACATTACTAAATTTATAATAATTAATTGTTACATTGTAAGATTGGATGGTTGATACGTCTTAATCGTAAGGATATTATTTTTAATTTTAGGGTAAATTGATAAATGTTCTATCTGGCTATCTTTAATAGAAGGTAATGTTTGAGTGTGCATGTGTGTGTAAGCGATCCATAGCCAAGTCTATAGCACTCGTTTTAATGATATTTGGTATACAGGAAATCCTATATACCCAAGCATGTGCACCTCAAAGTCAAGTTTTTAAATTTTGCATTTTAAAGAGCTGCTCACATGGGGATTTGTTGGCTCACGAAAATCGATTATTTTTTTGTTTATTTAAATCAGGGGTCGGTAACCTTTTTGATGTCAAGGGACAAAAAATAAATATACATTTTTCACAGGCCACAATTTGAATATACCTTAATACTTTGTTTTAAACAAAAATGTATAATCATACTCAATTCAATTTATTGAAGGTCATAAACCTACATAGGTACTACAAACAAACAACATTTTCTAATCCATATACTATCTTAGTTTATGATTTTGATATAAGTTATACATTTTACTCTCGGGTTACATAAAATTACTATGGATTAATTTAATTAAGATCTACTTCTTGATTTTTTGATAAAATGTGGATTTCAGATGCATAACTATTATCCTAACGTTTTTCAACCCGATCGTAGCGATTAAATATTAAGTCACAAATAATGTTGTGTTTAAATTTTGTGTATATAGGTCACCAACAAATTAATTAATTAATTAATATATTATTTTATTTTAGAACGACTTCTAGATAATGGTTAAGCTAAAAGAAAAACTTTTTAAAACATTTTTGCTTAAACTATTTTACTTGACAAACACAATATGTATATAATATATTATTATTAATAATGTTGTACTGGAAATTGGTCTTGAAAGCAATAAATTGTGTACCGTTAGTAAATACATCTAAGGAGGGTATATGGGATATAACTCCCCATAGTTCACTTTGAACTTTATTTTAAAAAGGTAGCATGAAAAATTTGTTTTATCTTGGTACCATAAATATTATTTAAACAAAGTTCAGACCGCTCTCGTACACTTTAATATAGGTACGTCAATAAAACGTATATGTAATATCGAATTTTTAAATTTTTTTATAAGAAATAAATAATTTTAAATCAATGCATTTTAATAATAATTTAATATAAAAACGGTATATTTTTAAACTTTTGAATTAAAAATAAATAAATAAATAAACCTACTTTTTAGGAAATAAATTAAATTAACTAATAACTATAAAAGTGTCCAATATCGGTGGTACTCATTAGTCATTAGTATTTTTTTTTTTTTAAATATTTTGATTTAATTGTATTCATATGTTATAATAAAACTTTTCTAAAAAATAGTATGTAGGTAGTATGTGAATTATATATCTACAATCAGTTGAGACTTCCAGATGATTAAACAATTTATCTTCCATTTGTTGCATGGCAATTAACTTCAGATACGATTTACTATGGGCTCAAATTTAAGTCACGAAAATCCAACACTTGAAACCAATATTCATTTCAACGGTTTGTGTTTTGGTAATGGTTTTTTTAAAGTTTTTATTTTTATTACGGTATGTAAGAAAATGAAAAAAAAAACCGATATTAGGTTATAACCGGTTCCAAGCCCCGTGAGTTCATGCATAAATGCATAACTAAACAATAGGTTTTAAAGTAATAGTATCCACAGACGCCTGCTGCAGTAAAATACAATAAATTTATTCTAAAACGTTTTTGAGCTGCATTATAATATCAAAATACATCCTATATAAATTATAATTCGCTGGGAAGGTAGGTACTTGTTTTTATATCAAGTGAAGGGATTAAAATTGGAATATTATATTGTTCAGTCTCTGGTCTTGAATAATATAGATATCGGTCCGTCCGGTTTGTTTATTAATAATGATTTACTGTCCAACTTTGCTCCCGTCCATGTCATATCAAAATTTCTGACGATCTGAAACGCACGTACGGTATATTTTGTACAGGTATAGGTACTTACTAACAATTGTTTATAAGGCTTTCATAATGCGCCTGACCACATGTGATTCGTAAATACAACTTACTTTTATGAGCACGGCCTGTAGGAACTGTTCAGACAAACGTCTAGCTATGCACGTCCTAGGCCCGTGGCCGAAAGGTAAAACCAAATACGGACTGACCGGCTCGTATTCGGCGCTGCCCTTTATCCATCTCTCTGGCACAAATTCGTTGGGTCGCCGGAAGTATTCTTCCAGACGGCAGCTCACCTGGTTTTGTGTGACGACGACCGTCTATATGTGTTTGGAAAACGAAATTTTCAGTTTGTTATCAGTTATCACTTATTCAGAGCAACGCAGTTGACAGCGTAAATTTGGTTCTATTATAATAAAATATAATATAAAAAGGACGTCACACACTCATTATACAGGGTGTATCTTATGTCATTGTACGCGGGGTTTTTTGACGATTACGGAATGATGATATGGAATTTCGTTAAAACGAAAAAAGACGTGTTTCTTTATTTTTAACAAGCAATTGTTTTATAACAATTTCAAAATTTTTAAACACGCAGGTGTACCAATAGCAAAATCAACTTTTTTTTTCAAATGGTAACCACTATATTTTTCAATGGATTCTGGTAAAGCTTTTTTTTCTGAACATTTTGGTAGTCGAATCGTCAATTTTGGTTCGCTAGTTTATTAACTATGGTCCTCCAAAGATTAGTAAAATATGCATTAATACTTTTAATTAAAATAATGGGTATAGGTTTAATTTACAAGCGCTAAACAATTTTTTCTTATAACTCCCATTTGATACACTACAATAGTTGAATCGGTAATCTAATGACACCCTCAAAAAAAAAAAAATAAAATATAACAAACATAATTGTTTGTAAACATACTTCATTATTTTTATTTTAACATACTATCATATAAAATCAATATTATTATTTTAATATCCAAAACTAAAAAGGATGGAAAGGGATGAATTACTACTCCTAAGTTCATACTTTGGATGCGATACCATTATAGGGAATCTATGGTTAAAATATCAAGTTTATACTTTATACCACTACGAAAAGAGCACCACAAAACATTGCACTTTTTTCGTTGCACATATTAATGTCAACAATCGAATACCATTTACCAATTTACCATTATTACCTTAGCCACCTCCCTAATTAAGAATTCAAATTTATGATATTGTAAGAAAAGTAACTGTGATGAAAAAAATGTAAAGTAATTAATTACGATTATAATAATAATAATTTAAAATAATAATATTGATTTTTATGATCGTATGTTAAAATTAAAATAATGAAGTATGTTTACAAACAATTATGTTTGTTATTTTTTTTTTTTTTTGAGGGTGTCATTAGATTACCGATTCAACTATTGTAGAGTATCAAATGGTAGTCATAAGAAAAAATTGTTTAGCGCTTGTAAATTAAACCTATACCCATTATTTTAATTAAAAGTATTAATGCATATTTTACTAATCTTTGGAGGACCATAGTTAATAAACTAGCGAACCAAAATTGACGATTCGACTACCAAAATGTTCAGAAAAAAAAGCTTTACCAGAATCCATTGAAAAATATAGTGGTTACCATTTGAAAAAAAAAAGTTGATTTTGCTATTGGTACACCTGCGTGTTTAAAAATTTTGAAATTGTTATAAAACAATTGCTTGTTTAAAATAAAGAAACACGTCTTTTTTCGTTTTAACGAAATTCCATATCATCGTTCCGTAATCGTCAAAAAACCCCGCGTACAATGACATAATATACACCCTGTATAACTACGGTTCTTATGGAGTTCTTAAAAATTTGAACGAAATATTAAAAAAAAAAACGTAGCTATCAAATATTACTAATAAGATTTACAAGACGACTGTTCCCATATGAATGTGTAGACTGCAGTGTTGTAAAAAATACTTTTTAAAAGTATTTAAGTAATTACTCAAATACTCTTAAAATAAAGTATTTAAAATACCACCCAAATACTATAAATAGTAAAGTATTTGAGTAATACTCAAATACTTTTCAGAAGTATTTAAAATAATCTTCAAATACAAAAAAAAAAATTCTTTTTACTTTTTAGTTCTGAAATAATTTGTTATAATCAAAAATGTGTTTATTGCATTTTAAAAACATGTTTCGTTCAATAATCAAAATTCTGATTAGTCATGTTAGTTGCACTACAACAATGAACTTTTCTCAACAGAGTTATTATATTAATTTAAAGCTATATTATGTATTTGGATATCTCATACCGTCATCGATAAACAATAATGATAATAATTGATAAAAATTTTCTTGATAAATAGGTAGCCACTAGCCAGTAGGTACTAATAATTATTAACATTATTTTCGTATAGTTAAATAATTATAAACTATAAAATATAATATCCGTTAAGTAGAAGCTTTTTACATATATATTTTGTTAACTTAAGCTAATAGTGATACCGACTACAGATGTATCTATTCGATCATCGTCGACAATAAGCTGTCTCCTAGAGAATAAAAAAATTAAATAAAAGTATTCAATAAAATAGTATTAAATAGTAAAAAAAAGTATTTCAAATACCATTCAAATACCATTCAAATACTTCAAAATAAAAAGTATTTAAAAAAGTATTCAATACCGAAAAAAGTATTTGAATACTTTTACTCAATTACTTTTACTCAAATACTATACAACACTGTGTGTAGTATGGTGCTTATCGGTTCCTAAGTTCCTTCTTGTGTGACAGCGTGAGTATACCTACTACATTATAATGCAGAAAAACTTCTGATTCACGTGAGAAAGCACTTCGAAGAATTTGGTTGTGAACTAGGTGCGTACACCGATAATACTTTTTCAGACGAGATGGATATTATATTTATGAAAACATTTGTTTTCTCCAAGAACAACACTCCTGTGGTTTCAAAATAAGTTATAAGATACCATTCTAGTTATTAGTGAACACTCGACGTGTGTGCAATGCGGTGACGTCCCAAATATTTTATTTTATTATATAATATATTTTATAATATTGTTTTTCGAGTTTACTCCTGCGGGGACTCTGTACCCGGAAAACACGCATTCCTCGGGCAGTATCCGGCCGACGCCCACCGATATCGGATTCATCCGGAACATCTCCTTGACGACCGCTTTCGCGTACACGGCTCGCTCCAACACCCTATCGGTGACTGGTGTGTGGCTGTCCGGTAGCAGGGCCCGAGCCTCATCGAACATTTTCTTCCTAACGTCCGGATTCGATGACAGATGGTACAGTCCGAAACCACACGAATACGTCGCCTAGAACCGATAAACCGTACTCACATCTATTTACAACTATATACATAATATACATACGATGATCACATAATAAATAACAATAAATAATAATAATACAATTCGTATTAGAATTTTCTTAGGTTTTTATCACATCCAGGTGTTGAGTGGCTGACGAAAATTAATTTTACCGATCAGCTTGACCGGTCGAAAGTAGCAAAAACGATTCAATGCAATGTACGACTTCGATCTATAAATTCTAACATTCGGTTCACAATATCGAATTTCTGCTAATTTATTAGAAACGAATGGCTTAAAGACTTTTAAGTGAATATAATACTAAACATAGTGTGACTGACCAGTATAACAACACCACAGACAATGTTATCGAATTTACAGTATATCCTAGTATATAGTGGTCTTCAACCTTTTTGACTGGCGACCCACTGTTTTTGTAAAAAAATGTTCACGACCCGTGTCAACTTTGTCGGCCATGGAAGAAAAAAAAAAATTCTGCTATATAGTTTTGCGTGATTTCCCGTGCATATAAGTGGCGCACAAAACATTTCCAAAAAAGTTTCAATAAATATTTGCTTAAGTTTGGGATGACATTAAGCTCAATTGAATGATTTTCTATATCAGTAAACATTTTAATTGTCCTAATATCTGCTATAAATGTTTGTTCATCACTTATTCGAATTCATAATTTAAAAAGTTTCCAAACAAATTTTTAAGTATGGCTGCTAGGTACAAGGTACATGATTATTTTTAATGCACCATCAACGATTCATAGATTCATTCAAATATAAGCCACTATTTAGCAAAGCAATTGTTAACTGGATTTATGTAAACATATAATTGTAATTTTGGTGCAAAATCGTGTAATTATTGCAATTTTGGTTGATAAATTATGAGATCTGGTTTCCCATCTTGGGTAGGGTAAACTTGATGATCATCATATTAATCGAGACCCGCATCAATCCGAAATTATATAACAAGCGCCGATTAAAAACAACAATGTTATAAATGTGTAAAAATACATTTGTTTGTAGTTCCCATTGTAGGCAAGTAAATTGAAACTGTAAAGTATTTTTGAAAACAAAATATATACAATAGCATAAAATGTATTGGTCAATAATCAATATGGCTTCTATATTCGTTTATAACATAATTCTATAGGCGTAGGTAGTAGGTACCATGTACAGTAATTAACTAAAATAAATTTACCTAAAATGTAATATTACCGTGTCGATTCCAGCTAACAAAGTGTCAACAGTCATTCCAATGACGTCTTTGAAATCCGTGTCGTCTGAGCTCAAGTATTCTCCCAACAATGATGTTTTGGAGTCTGTCGTTTTAATACTGATCAATTTTTCATTTACAACTTTAAGCGCAATTCTAAAAAAAAAGATTACTCAAATATTTTTGATGATCAGCAAACATGTCGTTATTAATTAACTAATTGATTGCTAACGTCTATAGAAAGTAGCTATATAATGGAATATTGGTTAAAGTAATTAAATAATATTTTGTAAATATTGATTACTCAGCTAAACTCGTTTAATGGCCTACTTTTCAATTTGTTCGTGTCCTTTTTGTATACTTTTATACATGGGGGTGTCAAACTTTCTCCATAGTTGTGGTCCATTATCGGTCTTCAGTATCGCACTGTTTATGTCATGAGCCGCCTTGATCAGTTTCGAACACTCCGAATCTGAGTCCCATTCTTCGTCTTTGAACCGCTGTAGTCGCTCGTCGAATGCGATATAGTACGTCACTGTTGACATTGTTTGAATTTAATAATATTATATGAAGTTTCATTGATATAGGTAGGTACTTATTATAATATTATACAATAAAACATGTCATGTCTCTGTGAAAAATAAAAAATTACGTTCTAGGAAGAGCCTGGATAGTTCGGGGCCGAAATCGTCTCTGCGTTCTGCGCGTTTTATCCTTCGATCTATAAATTCTCCAACCACCGTGTTCGTACTATCCACGTACCGTTTGATGCATTGTACCTTACTCAAATGTTTTTGGAACGCTTTTCTAAGTCTCCACCAATCCGAACCATTTCTGTAATAAGCAAGGTTCATATAATTTAACAGTAGTTATATAGTTGAACGTATAATTTCACATAGTAAACAAAGGTCAAAAGTAAAAATTTCCAAGTAGTTTTCAAAAGCTAATTAAGTAAAAGGTTAGGTTTAAAAAAGGTTAACAAAAGGCGTAAAAATCACGAAAATGTGCAAATTATTTTGAGTATGAAATTGCAAATTATATTAATTCAACATACCGGCTATCGTATTAATAATAATACAATATAAATATAATATAAAATAATATCCTAGGTTGACAAACCGTCTTCGATCAGAATCCATACAATAATGATATTATAGCATTGAATTAAAATTTAACATCATCTATTACAGTGGCCAACTTGTAAGCTATACTGTACTTATAGCAGAGCGACACCCACTTCACCCTCTTTTTTTTATCTTATAGGTACCTAGTATCCATAAGTAAACGAAAATAATAAATTTTGCTATTGATAATAATAACTAATATTTAAGACTTAAATTGCAGGTATATTAATCAATAAAATTAATCATAGACTCACGTGGGCAAAAGTCCTCCAGTGTTGTACACATCTGGTTTGCTCAATCTGTACTTTTGTAATGCCAAATGACTACGTCTTTCTGGGTACCTGCCTTCTTTCCGGTACAGCGTCTCGATGTCTTCCGGTTTGAATATCCACACTATGGACACGCCGGGCACAATATCTTCCCGGACAACCGGTCCGTACTGACGGAGTTTCGCCAACCCATTGTGATGTATTCGGTCAAATTTGTACTTACCAAATATAGGTAAATATTGGTAAAGGGTGCCGACCAGTGGCAGAGATGTTGGTCCTGGGATTTCGTTAAATTCTTTGGCAGCCGCCGTTTCCGTTGACAAAAAACGAAGTATTTGGAATAAAGTCGATTTCTAAAAAATATTTTCTGTTGGTATATTATATGCATCATTTTTTACTGATACCTATGCATTTATACTGCATATCTAAAGGTATACAATTAATTTTAATCTTATTTAAAAAAATTGTATTTGTTCCTATAGTCAAACGCACATTATAGGTATAGGTTATATTTACAATGTAATAAAAATGTGTTGTATGTGTTTATTGTATTCGTCGAACTTGATCCAATAAATTTGTCTGGTCGAATGATTTATAAATGTAGAAATATTTTTATATGTAAATATTGTACCTATTGTTATTCTATAAACATTGTAGTAATAATGCGACTATTGTGTATTCAAATCTATACGTTTTGACGCAAAGTGTGCGTATGAAAATATTATATAAACGTGTCGACCAGTAATACGTTTTAAAAAGTTGAACAAAATTCAAATTTATGATATTTTAATTCTGTCATCGTTTATCCCGACGACAAATAGCAAAAAATATGTATTTTGCTCAGCGGTTTCCTAGAACGAACTAGTGCACACCACGAATCTTTCTGCATACGACAACAACGCCGAATGTCGATTACCGATGTCAGCGAAAATGTATATGGTACTCAATCATATAAACGCATTTAAGCGCTTTATTGTATTATTATGTCACGCTGTGCAGTAAATTGGTTTCAACATCATTGTAACTATACGAACACGGGCGTCGTGTAATTTAAATTGATTTATTCTACGCGAATGTGTTTTATAAGAATTGTAGGAAAAAAATACAATAACGATGGAATCAATAAACCACGAAGCACATTACTTGAAGAAAAATATGTGTGTTACCAGTACGCGCGCCGGAAGTTAAACTTCTTCTGAATGGTACACGTGAGTGAGTGAAAAAGAAAGAAAAAAATATTAATTAATTAAATAATATTGACGTGGCCCGATTATAATATATAATATATAATATATATATATATATTATAATATATAATATAACAACACTACCATGACAATATTTATTTATTTACGGATATGTACGCTTTCGCGTTCGTACGGCCGCCCGTTCGCTTTTTTTTTTCCTCACTACCCTGCGTAAAGAAGTATAACTTCAAAAAAAATTATAATATTAGGTACATTAGGTGTGTTCAACTTCCGAATTGAATATTATGCATCATTATGAGAGGACGTGATACCCACACGTGTTGTGTCCACCATACAAGTGCGTAACATTGCAAATTTTAAGCTCAGCAGAACACGTGTAGCTCGGATAGTTTAAAAATTAGAGTGAATTTCTTAAAGTTAAGATTATTATCTAGGCAACCTAACCTCATGGGCTTTTTGATATAATTTAATTTTAAAGCAAGTATTTTAAAATTGTAAACTGTAAATATGTATAATATGATGTACATCTTAAAATACTCATAACTCGCTTCAAAATTAAAATGTAATAAAAAACCCAAGAGGTTGCCTATATAATAATATTACCTTTAGATTTTATAAGAAACTCACTCTAATTTTAAGTTAACAGAGCAGCACGACGCACGTGTTCTATTGATCGTAGAATTAGCTGTGTAGTACTGTAGTATGTACTCACTTGTAAGACGAAGAAAACACATGCGGGTATCACGTCCTCTTAATTTTAATTTAAACGATGAGTGATTAGGGATGGGTCGTTCGCGAACGATTCGTTCAATTTGAACGAATCAGTTCAGTGAACGAATTGATTCAGATTCGGAAAGTTAGAACGATTCGTTCACAAAATTAATTTCGTTCGTAACTTCACTTGAATCGGGACCGACTACGAATCATCAATATTCTAATATTATTACCAATGAATATGAATATATGATTCGTTATTTCGTTCACTGATTCAAGTCTAGTTCAGTCTCAAAGCAGCCGGCTGCACTGTTGCAGCTGTTCCCCGGCCAATCCATTATACAATTACCTACCTTGTGGTACCCACTATCAGTTAATATGACTGTGATGATAACTGATAAAATTTGGATAGTACTATCCTAAATCATAATATAGTAATAATATCAAATATGCAAGGTTGGGCATTAACGAGTTAATAAGTTAAAGTTAAGTTACTTTAACTAAGTTAATTAACGAGTTACTTTTTTTTTAGAAGTAACTTCCAACTTAACGATTTACATTTTTCCCCATGTTATTCAGTAACTTAACCAATTAATTAATTTTATTGGCACGTTAAGTTAATTTTTTCCCAAACCACATATTATTTAAAATTAATTCAATTTTGTAAAATTAATTACATAAAAAAACCCGAAATATTAAATATATTTTATTAAATAATAATTTATAATAATAATAGTAAGTTTTTATATTGCATATTCACAGAAAATATTTTATAACTATATTTTTAGAGGGAAATATCATAGAGATGACTCTAACCGCGTCAAAGAAAAATATAACAATTTACTCAGTAGGTACCTACCCATACACGACATATCACCTAACCTATACCTAATCATTATTAATATAATTACTTATTATTATATTTTTATTCATTCATAGAATTACGGTGATAACTTGGCCCGTCGATGTAAACAATACCCGTAGTAGCGTGGTATTTACTATTTACCTAATTAAAGTATAATACACAAAATTAATATAAGTACCTACAGTAACTAATTTTATTACAAACATTTATTCAAATATTGTAAGACATTTTTTGATTTATTGAATTATTATGTTATTTGTTAGCTTTAAAAAAGGTAGGTAGTATAATTGTTAATTTTATTTTTAAAAAAAAAGTAACTTATTTTTAACTAAGTTAAGTTACTTTTATTTTCTAATTAACTTGTAACTTTCACAAGTTAAAAAAAAAATGAAGTTAAATTTTAACTTTAAACTTAACTTACATTTTTCTATATTAACTTAACTTAACGAGTTAAAAAAAAAATAGTTAACTTGCCCAGCCTTGATAATATGGATAGAAATTTAATAAAATATATAATATAAAATATATCATCACCAATGATTCAAAATCGATTCATTTGTCATTTGATTATCATTATGCATGATAAGTGATAACTGAATGAATTAATTCAACTCAGTTTATTGTATTGGTGAATCAAATGAATCAAATGAACGAATCATTTGAACGAATCAATTTACTGAATCGATTCAAATGATTCGAATCAGTATAATGATTCATTTTTCCCATCCCTATGAGTGATGGCACCCTGGACATAACCAGTTAAATAACATAACTCATAAAAGTCAGTCTAATATTAAAAGTCGTTGATACATTTCAAATATTAATTGGGTGGGATTTTAAAAACTATGGGATGGAAATGGGAAGTGGGAACGTTGATACTATATTTATCTATATTAATAGATAAATTGTTTTGTTTAAAATGTATTTAATATTTATTATTACCATTCCTACCTAACATTCTATAATAATAAACTATAGTACTATACTACATAGATACAATAGTATAAATATTATAGTATAATATAATATAGGTATATACTATATATAATTTTTTTACTGCAGTCTATAGTATATATAATATATATGTATGCATATAAACATAAATATACTACTCCTGATTCAAAATTCTAGACTTGTATACAATATGATACTTATATAAATATAGGTAATATTTCAAAAAATAAAAATGCATAACCTAGTACGGACATTATGAAAATAAAAGAAAAAATATAATTGGTTATTTTATAGTCATATGAATGACAACATTAAATGTGGAATTTTATTGTGAGCTGAACAAATCTGAGAAAAGCCTGCACCAACTATTTGTTTCCCATTCAATACCCGACAGGTAATATTTGTCTTATAAACGATTGGCATTTGATTAAAATAATTTGAACCAATATAATCAACGGAAGACTGGCCAAAAGTTTTTTTTTCTTTTAAATAGCATAAATTCAAAATAAATAAGTATTCGTTATACTCACGCTGCAATGATTGACTCGTCGCATAGTTTTATTGTAATGTTCCAGACGCACCGCGTACCTATAATACAGTGAATTCTGTATGGTGGTTGTTCTGTCTAAACGGATAATACATAAAACATATTTTTAAAAGAACAATGTAAAAAATAACATAAACATACAGAGTACCTCGATCCACCCACCTCGGGAACTGACTACTGACTGCCGCCGAAAACAGAATACATTATAATATGAATACAATTATTATACCTATACGATGGCACATGCGTGTGCGAGTACAGTGCTGTCGTGATGCGCACGATAAAATAATTATTTTATTTAAAATCTATAGTTATTATTGTTATAAGTTATAAGTTATTACTTACTTCTTACTTATTAGTTATTAGTTATTACTAATAATAATTATTAATAGGACGATAAACCCAAGGTTTTTAGACTCTGATCTAAAAACATTGAGGTACACCCGCATGCGCCGTCCCCGTCTTACAAACGCATAACATGGATAATTGTACGTTCTAGAAATCCATTTAATTCTGTTATGATTGATATTGAAGCTAATTCACCTATTATAAAATGTAGATGTAATAATATTATCTAGTACCTTAAGAGGACGTGATACCTGCATGTGTTGTCTCCGTCTTACAAGTGCATAACATGGCAAATTTTACACTCGGCAAAACACGTGTAGCTCTGTAAATTTAAAAATTAGAGTGAATTGACCTCTTATAAAATCTAGAGGTAAGATTACTATCTAGACAACATCATGAGGTTTTTATTATATTTTAATTTTTAAGCGAGTTATTTACAATTTTAAAATACTCATATCTCGCTTTCAAATTAAAATATAATGAAAACCTCATGAGGTTGTCTAGACAGTAATCTTACCTTTAGATTTTATAAGAGATCAATTCACTCTAATTTTTTTAATTAACGGAGCTACACATGTAGTTCTGCTTTGCGCAAAATTTGCCATGTTATGCACTTGTAAGACGGAGGCAACACATGCAGGTATCATTTCCTCTTAAGTGGTTTTTCATACTCAAACAAGCTTTGAGAATTTTTAAATTGTAAATCGTTTGTGCATGTTCTACTTCGCCGATTACATGCTGTTCACCACTTACTTCACTCGTCAATGCTGCGGTCCTCATCAAGGTGCGTATATTTGTTGTTTGGACGATTGGTCATCAAAATACCATATTGTATTTTTTAAATTTTTTTTTATTTTATTTTTTTATTTGTTGTATTTGTTCAAAAATCAATATATTATATATATTTTGTGACCTCGTTCGTTTGTCTCATTTCGTCGATGAGATCGCGAGGTTTCGGCATCCACGAAACTTAGAGTTATGATCCTTCACAGGCCATAAGGTTTGAGATTCTGATCATTGGAGACATTTAGATACATTTCTAGACTTCTAGTGTCTGCCCTTCCACGTCCACGGAGGTGATTTGTAGATCGTCCGAAAAATTAAGGACCGTCTATGATTTATTACCACATTCAGTGTGCAGTAGCCAGTAATTTATTCACAACTTTTTCTAAAGCTATGTTAAACTGTAGAATCCTCTAAAATATAATAGTATACATAATTATTATGAATCTATCATCAAATTCACCTAGGTAGGTACTTGTAACATCGTAATCTCAATTATGATTACAATTATTATAATATATATCATGCATAGGGGAGACTGGCTTAATATGACATATTAGGGTAATAACTAATATGACACATTGATGTTTTGATTAGAATTATTGATATTTACGAACCAAATCCGCTTTAAATACGTGACATATATAACCTCTTACAGTCCTATACACAATTGTATACAGTGACACCGGTTTTTACCTTATCAGAGAAAATGATGTCTTATCAACATTTTTTTTAATCATTTTTAAAAATTAATTTTAAAATATAAAATTTTATGTTTCTTCAATTTGTTTCATTCGAAGTTAAACATGAAAAGGCAAGCTATACTACAAAGTACAATTGTTTTATAAAGAAGCTTATTATAAAAGTGTTGTTATTAACAATAAAAAAATTGATTTAACTATTAAATTCTAAAAGTCTTATAATTTGTTTCTATTGTCCAGTATACAATGGTTGCTTATACAAATATCGTGTGTGTCATTTTATCCGACACTACGGGTAAAATGACATATATAGTAGGTACATTTAAAAAGAAGTGAATTAAAATTATTTGTCTGTATTGAATGTAGAATTAGACTTCAGAAATATGTGTATAATATAAATTATAAATACAAATATTTTGCTCAAGTTTCATGTGTTAACTAACATTATTTCCTTCAATTTATTTAAATTAAAAAGTGGTATGTCATATTAAGCCAGTCTCCCCTAATAATGCATATTGTAAGCATATAAATTCAAATAACAGAAAAATAATTATGATACGGGGACGGAGTGGCCGAGCTGACTAAAACGAGCGAACCCCGGCCATGGGCGGCACTTCTCTTCGGGCAGTCAAGATATCTGGAGCCCACCATCCTCCACCGGGCATGGCAGATATATGGTGTCTACTGGTGACTTACAAGTTACAGGTGCCTACTTGAAAATTCTGCAAAACTAAAAACACATGTATGTAAAACCTACAGTACACTCCTCCACACTTGAAAAGCACCCAATGGCCTAAGTTGCAGCGGTTTAATTAATGAAAAAACAAAAAAAATATCATGATATTTATTTCAATAAAAATATTCATTTAATTTAAATAATATGTTTCTTAATAAAAAAATATCAATTATCTATACAAAAATATTCACTAAAAAACTATTTTGTAATAATATGTAATAATACCTATGTTTATTGTTTATTTGAAATAAGATTTTTATAACATTATAATATAATATGCATCCAATTATTAACCTCTGACTCTTGGTATACGTTTCAACAACTCACTCCGCAATGACTTTAAAATTGGAACCATTTAACCATCAACACAGTTGCATTTAACCCAGAGACATACAGGGGGGAATACCACCCCTAGATATTTAATTTCTATAATTTTCATAGGGAAATTTACATAAACGTCGGCCTATAATTGACCATTTTGGAAAAAGCGACCATATGATAATACGTATGGATTTTGATATTTAAGATTAACTAATATTGGGAAAACAATTTTAATTAAGAATAAAGTGTATACTGTAATTGTATTTTTGAATTGTGTTGTATTGCAATAATTATTTATCATTTTGCAAATACCTAGGTGCCGTATATTATAATTTATAATACATATCACATATTATATAATATTATACATACATTTATGACACATTTAACTACATTTCACATACTGAAAATAATAAAGTTGGTGGACATTAAGACATTATATAACTTATAATAATAACAAATAATTATCTAGTAATTTTTACAGTCCATGATAATGATTTTCTTCACCACCCTATTGTCTGGTATGCCGTACGGCGTACACACTATATCTGATATCCATATTCGACAAGTTTCAAGTGTCTTTTCATCCAGCCTAGGAAACGGTTGGTCATACATCCATTTTTAAATCATGTTCATTGCTCATCTATATACGATGTGTTTATAACACTATTATATTATTTCCAATAGACTATAATATAGTTGCAGAACTGTCTAATATATTAGTTGAGAACATTAAGAGAAGGAACCTAATTTTAGTCATTAGCTGCAACGTTTATCAAACAGCTGTGGGGGGGGGGGCGTGAGGTGGTGTTGACTAGGGAGTCAAGCAAGGCTAGGCAAATTAACGATTTTTTTTAATTCGTTAAGTAACATAACTCAGTTTAAAGTTAACATTTCCTAATTTGCAAAAATAAAAAATTCCAGACACATAATATGGTTTATTAGATAGTTTTTCTTTATGCTCAAGAAAACTACTGGGGAAATTTAAAATGATACATCAAAGTAAAAACCTCATTCAAAAATGTACATTGTACTTAGGACTTATTGACTTAATTTAGATACTTTTGAATAAATTGTTTTGAAGTTAACACGTTAATCTCAAAAAAAAAAAGTAACAAGTTAATTAACTTAATGTTTTAACTTAATTTTATAACTTTTAACTCGTTAATGCTCAGCCTTAGAGGTAAGTAAACAATTCAATAATTATAGATCTCGTAAATCGAAAATTGAAATTTGAAGATTGACGTTTATATGAGCTTATGACATACATATTGGATTGTTGCAACAATACTAATAAATAATTATTAATATTATAAATAGTAATAAATACTAATAATAACGAGCGGTGGCGGTTTTTATAAAACATCAAGGGGAGGGGGACTATTTTCAATTTTTGGGCATCCCCCAACATAATTAAAGCAATTCAAGCATTTAGTGTAATTTCAATTTAAAAAAAGGACACCCCTTCGCCCCCCCTACAAATCACCACTGATAACGAGTGCGTATGTATATTATTTACTGTATAGACGATGTACATTGTGCATGGATTTTGGCGTCGCGGGTAACGTAGGTAAAACGTATAACGTGGTAACGTAACCATATTCATCATATTATACAAATTGGGAAAGAGATTTCTTGTTTTGTGGAAAATGGCCGCTTGTTCAGTTGTATAACTTGTTCATCGCGATAGGGATCTTTGGAAACAAATTGAAATCATCTCCGGTCACATCCTGGATAAAAATCGTGTTATTCTTCTAGTTGAATTTTTTTTCTTCGTTGGAAACCATGCCGGGAGTAATCGAATCGGTTCCCGTTTGAAAAAGCAATTTTATTAAATTAAGCCGAATTGGTTTCCGTATCCAGGACGACTTCAGGTCAAATAGTTACAATTTTCATTTTTAAGCCTACTTTTGCAATACGAAATCATATGTATGTATAATTGGTACAAAATATATAAATTCGATACTATAAAATATAAATCTATACTCTATAGCTTATACAATAATAAGGCAATAAATTATTATATTGATTATTGACGTGTTACCAAATTATGAATGACTGTAGAGTCATAGAGTACATTCATGGGAAACTTGTACCTACACGAATAGAATATTTTGA